ATTTATCATTGATTTTGACTGCCTTTTTAAATTCAAATATATCTTATCGAAAAAGTAAACAAAAAATTATTTTTTGTTCTCGTTTGGTAGCAAATTACGCCTTCTTTAAACTTAATACATAATGAAAGTGTATCTTTCAGTTTTAAAAAAATTTCTAATTATGAACTGACTGCTACACTCGAATTCAAGGTTTACAAACTGCGCACTGTGTACATATTGTTTAAGGAAAAGCACGTTTTCGCCTACAGTTTGAGGAAGAAGTCACATAGTTCTCATAACATGTTGCAATAGATGTGAAAGATGCTTTATGCAGTATAGGAAGCATTAATAAATTGACGGATACTATGTATTATGGATGAACACCTCAAAATCGTAAAAAAGCTCATGATTATACATTTTCTAAAACCGAAGGATAGCCTTTCTTTAAGTATAAAATTTAAAAAAGGCGTAATTTGCTACCAAACGACTACAAGGAATAACTTTTTCGTTATCTTTTCCATAAAATATTTTGAATTTATAAAGGCAGTCAAAACCAATGATAAATACGCATACTATTTACGTAGTTACTTCTTACAGTACATATGTTTTGTTAGCGGTCAGAACGAAGCTCATTAAAAAGCTCACATCCTATCATGACTGAAATAACTTCAGAATAGACTACACGATAATCAGTATCACAACCCGAGTCAATGCGATTAGCGAAAGAGTATCAATCTTTCGCATATGCCGGCATGTTGCACGAATTGTGGCGCGTACTGTATAGGCTTATGTGGACGCTTAATCCAAACACGGGATTAGAATCTCCCCTCTTCCACTTAAGTGGGTGGTCTTGTAATACATTTTTAGGAAGGGTAAATATTCCCATGTCTTAGCCCTTACAAAAGCGTAAACTGTAACCTTAGTCTTAACTTTAGTCCTACTCTAATCCTAAACCCTACCGTTCACATGAGTTCAAGCCTTAATCCTTAAAGTGATCCTGACTCTAACCCCATCTCTAATCATAACCTCAACCATAAACCTAATCCTAAACTGAATTCTAACCCTCACCATAATCGTAAACCTAATGTCGCTGGAATTTGACGTAAATCTACATGTGTTATGGACGTTTCCTTTTCCCGTGTCCCGTTTAAACGACCATACAACTTATTCTTATCAAAAGATTGACTAAGTTGTAGTCCAGCTAAATCAGTTAGCAGGGCAGCTTGGCGGACTTCGGTGCCCACAGTGGGCCAACACGGATGTTTATTAGCCCTCGCGGCATGAGTCTGCACCTACCACATTTCTGTGCGCGCCATTTGTTATGGGAGCACATCCCAAATAACGCCTGCCCTCTTCTGATCTATCTTCCTATTGGTCCAGGGCATTTAACATGTGGCCCATTTAGAAAACGGATTTTTTTTTAATAACTATGAGGCGAGAATGAGGCGCTGATTGACGCCTTTGAACCTGAATGCCCGTGTAGAGTATTAAGGAACATTATGGTTTTCGGTGTTCTCAAACAAGAGTTCCTATACTTTATAGTTATGACATAATTTGCCAAAATTTACTGATCGCAATTTTTAAACAAGAACAAACTTTCGTTCTTCTGAAACTGTTTGTTCACACCAAACCTCACCCGATTTACTTTGGTTCAAAAATAACATTTAAATCTGACGAAGGTTGATTTTGTAACGCTTTCTCATGTAGGTTTATGCCACTGTTCAGAAAAGCAGATATTCTAGTGTAATCTGTGACAATTATTAGCATAGAAACTTCTCCTATTATAGTATGACACTGCTCGCTACGCACAAGTATTTTTTACCTGTGTAAATAACTTTTTTCATAACGCGTTAAAATAGTAAGTAAAGTGTGCAGTGTTCGTGGTGCCCCGACCTGAGCATCTGACTTTAGGACATACTATTTCATGGCGAGCTGTGAAGGTCTCGTCAGAATTCTTATAATTACTCAAAACTTTTCAGGCGCAGGGGTACGGATGAGGCTGCATTTACCTGTATTCTTACGCAACGCAGTTTCGCACAAATTCGGGAGATAGGAAAATGCTATCATCAGGTGAGTAAGAATTCCGTTTGTCGTTGTTTATTTTCCACTAGAAGTTAATTTTGCCCACTTGCGATGCTAGCACGGTCGCGTTACCTTTTGGGAATTGCAATCGAAACCTCTTGGAGGTCACCTGCGTTGATGTTGAGTTTTTGGTCCTCGGCGGTGCTGTCTTCGTACACTAGAATTTTAAAATATTTTTGTCTGCTCACCACAGAACTTGCGAACAATCAAAATATTCCAAAGCCTGGTTACACTTTTAAAAGCGTCATTAAGTTGCCATTCCCATATTTAACAGCTGTATTTAATGAGTAAGTACTACGGCATTTCCACCGATTCTATTGATGCTGTTATAACCGATACTTTTATGTACGTTAGAAACACGGTAAATCGCTCCAAAAGGCCGTCGAGAAGGAGACGTCTGGCTACTTCGAGAAGACTTTCGTAGCGATCAGTAAGTTGTCGTTTTTTCCCTTATGCACACATTCGCTGCCGAATGCTGTGGTCCATTTCTGTCACAGTCAGCTTAACTTTACTGTTATTTGTGCTTTGACTCCTGGAACGCCAACAGATCGAGGTTCTAGGCCAGGGGTCGGGAACCTTTTTGACTCAGAGAGACCTGAAAGCAAAGATTTGGAAATATATTTCAGTGAGAGCCATATAATATATTTTAAGATTAAATTGAATGAGTATAATAAGCCTCTGGATTTATTATTTTAGATAATAAAATCACAAAATCA